CCCGAGTTTCAGTTGTAGGACTCGTGGAGAGAAATCATTCCTCAGAATGTAATAGTCGCTTAGATAATAAAATTTTTCTCCTTCTAGGAAACAGGGGATTTATTATCCTGTTCTAAGGAGTCCGATGCTGTTCGGATTAACTCGCATTTCAACAATTCAAAGCCGAAGCTAATCTAAGTAATATAGCTAACGTAACCTTAATGTTATCGTACATGAATTTAAATGTCATTTCTGACGAAATAAGAAAACCGACGCCATCCGCCGTCACGCCAGATGAAGCATACCACCCTTGGTATAACGTTTGGCACGATCATAGAAAATCGACGCCTTGCGTAACAAGGTTCTAGAAGGACGAAATCTTACCGAAGACGCCAACCTAACCTAACCTAACCTAACCCAACTTTACGTAACCCAACCTAACCTAACCCAACTTTACCTAACCCAACCTAACCTAACCTAACCCAACCTAACCTAACTTAACCTAACCTAATCCAACCTAACCTAACCTAACCTAACTTAACCTAACCTAATCCAACCTAACCTAACCTAACCTAACTTAACCTAACCTAATCCAACCTAACCTAACCTAACCTAACTTAACCTAACCTAATCCAACCTAACCTAACCTAACCTAACTTAACCTAACCTAATCCAACCTAACCTAACCTAACCTAACTTAACCTAACCTAACCCAACCTAACCTAACACAACCTACCTATAAACGTTTTCTATCACAAAGGAAACAACACGTCTCCATTAAAAAGAGCAATTGATTATTTACACTGAGAACCATAACGACTGGACAGTGATTGGGATTATCTCATCTTAATGGACCCTACAGAATAGGTGCCCCCTTCAGCATACCTCAAGACGAGGACAGATCCAGTCCTCGAAATGTTATGTGTTTTATGACGTCAGATAAATCGAATGATCAAATTCGTTCCGTAATAAATTCTTCTTGAGCTACCAGCCATTTTCTCCCTCGTCGTGACGAAGAGGGATAATATCGTTGTCGAAACATTGGTATTTTCTTCATTAAGACACCTTAAACGACTGGTAGTCCGAGAAGAATTAATTATACTTAATCGCCACGAAAGCTTCAGATCATACAAATTCGTTCCATGTTAAGTAAAACTCAAGACATTTGGTTAGCTGTGTTCTTCATCCAAATTGTCTTAAGATAATTCATTTATATTATTCCAGAGATAATAAGGAGAGTTGAATGACTAAACTAATGCTCCGTTAAGTTATTAAGACTTAGCTTACTAATTGAAATGATACATTGAGATTAAGTCTTAGGCGTGTCTGTGTACCTTTTCGGATTATGTAGTCGCATTACGATATTTTCATTTGGTTGCGTTTTCACTCACTAGGTCAGCTGTAAACAGTAACTTAAGTCAAGAGGGGTGGAATGATGAATGTTAAGATGGCTTATTTATCAAGAAGGCGGAATTGATTGTGATTTATGTGTTAAATTTCTCAAATGACACTTAAATGATTCTGAATTGCACGAGAACCAGACCCCGACGAAAGATTCGTGCAATTTCCTTGTCAATATGCCAACTCTACAGCACGTCTTTTGCATCAAACTTACGTCAAGAAATGTAACTGAACATCCGGTAGTTGTGAGTGATGAAATTCTGACCTTCAGTTAAATTACGTAAGGTTTGCAAAGAAAAATATATATGACGTTTCATTTCTACGGAATAAAAGTCGATCTTGAAAATCGATACTGTAACACCGACGCACAGAACTTTGGTAAATGGAACACAGCAGAGGTTTGGTAAGTCTAAAATTTCGCTTTTATATCAAACTGTCAACAGCTAGGCAATGTTCGTCACTGTAAGATGGCGGACATTGGTCATCTTTGTCTTGCCTATGTGGACCTGGTAGGATGTAGGGACTTTGTAAGGGGTTGCAAGGGGGTGTTGGGTATGTTCTTATCGATTGTGAGTGGTGGTAGTGGCAGTCAAGTTATGAGGGTTGAGGGAGGTTCACGAGGAGGGTGGCGAGCAGCAAAAGCAGGGAAGATTCTTGAGGGGGTGAAAGAGAGAGAGGGAGAGAGGGAGAGAGGGAGACTGGACTGGACTCGATTCTACTCGGACTTGAGAAAAGAGGTGATGGCGATGTATAACGGAAGCTGTGTGGTCCATGGAGGATTAGGAGTGGCACGATCAAATTGTACCCTTGTTATGAAGCGTGTCTTTAATAATAGATATTGAAATATCGTAAATCAAAACGAATTAAAACGTATTATTTGGAAATAATTATAGATTTTTTTTTCGAATCTTACATTGAATGTTGTGTTATTGACAGAATAGAATCTCATTGCGTTTTATAACCTCGATAAAGAACACTTGTGTCCTTGTCAGTTTCAGAACACTGAATAACAGTTACGTGGATTGTAAGGGAGCTGGGATTGGTTTAAATGGTGTAATCGATTAGGGAATCGATTGTGGGATGTAGGAAGTCAGAATCGATTCCTTAAAATTAAGAGATTGTCACTACAGGTTTTTAAATTGTGTAGTACGAAAACCAAGCTTCTGTGCTAGATGGTCCTTTGAAAAGGTTATTGACCTCTCTAACGAAATGACAAAGTGAATTATGAATGTTCTGAAAAAAGCAACCATAATTTTTAAACTTTGATTCTAGTTTTGGGTCTGATTTTCTCGGAAAAAAAGACGATGATTAAACTTTTTCTGGATATTTCAAGAAACTTTGAGACTTTACTTATAAAATCGATAAAACCCTTTAAAATCTAAACTAATCTAAGTATTAAAAAAATTCGGTTCGTACCGCGAAGAAAACACACAACTTCACCATTACAAAGATCGACTTCTTAATGCTGTTTAAAGAAATAATAATTATTTTTTTCTGAAAAATGTACGAAACCCCTAAATACAAACTTCAGATTTACTGATTTTTTTAAGTACGTGATATATGTACTTAAAATGGATTTAATGGGTTAATCAACGTGAAAGAGTTTTTTCTTCGTGAACACCTTGCGTCATGCTAAGTGAGTACTGAGGTTGGTGTAACACAGTCATGTGGATCCGAGGTTATGAATTCATTAATATTCCCTACGCGTACACATTCAGTGTGATCAAACAACGACGCAAAGCCATTTTAGATTTCTGTCAGTAATTAAAATGTACAGCTGCAACTCAGTTCTGTAGATTGTTCGACGTGTTTATATATCGATAATCTAGGTTCAGATATCTGTTTTTTAATAAACTACGCCTGTTAGGAATTTTAATTATTTTAATTTAATATTTATAATGATATTTATTGACCAATTTAGTTATTGATCGGACACCAGTAGAATCTCCCAAGTATTTTGAAGAAATTGAAGAATTGAAGATTTTATAGTTTTTTATATATGAAGTTATTCACGTTTTTAGGTGACAGAAAAACTGTCACTATCAGTACAGCTCATATGTCTTGGATACTTTATCTACTTGGAGGTACGCCCAGTATAATGTATTAGATCTTAATATTTACTTAATGCAATAGATGTGGAAAAATTTCGTTAAATATGCAGTATATAAAATGTTACGATTTGTTTGGAGCTCATGTTGGCAACCATTAATAATTTTAAATTAGATCGTCGGCATAATGCATCCTATGGCGTATTTAATCGGTAACATATCAGCTAAAATTTGTTTCATTATTTTTTATTTGGAAATTATTTTATTTCCGTCTTTTATCTTCAAATGTCAGGTCTGGGCAGCTGAATTTGCTAGATAATTCTACCCAACGTCTTC